ACGCCAGAATGGACCATTTCAGGACTATGGATGGAAGGAGAGTGGATGGTGGCGAGGCAACACGCGCGTACCTGGGATCCCTCCGCCCCGACTTCACCCGCACAGAAGGCTCTCTTCGGGGTATATGCTCGACGCTCGGACGGAGCCCTCTCCGGAGGACCGCTCGTGACTGGCGCAAGCAGATTGCTCCGGGTTTACGCGTCAGGGACCGGTAAGAGGGACAGGGCCCTCACTGCTTCCATGGGCCAGTTGAGAGCCGGGTGCACAATGGAACTTGAACAGCCACGGGGGCCCTGACGTCTAATGGTTTAATGGGTATACACGCTCACTGCCCCCACCCCTGCAATGGGGTGCCCAGAATTTCGTTTCGAGTACGGAAGACCAGGGTGAGGGCCTCTATGTCGACCACAGACCACCGGCGCTGAATTCGCTCCGTGTCAGTCTGACACTGGAGACCAATTCCAAGAGCAGTGAGGGCCTCTATGTCGACCACAGACCACTGGCGCTGAATTCGCTCCGTGTCAGTCTGACACTGGAGACCAATTTTAAGAGCAGTGAGGGCCTCTATGTCGGCCACAGATCACCGGCGCTGAATTCGCTCCGTGTCAGTCTGACACTGGAGACCAATTCCAAGAGCAGTGAGGGCCTCTATGTCGGCCACAGACCACCGGCGCTGAATTCGCTCCGTGTCGGTCTGACACTGGAGGCACTTCCCAAGCAGGGACATGGGACCACGACTGTCACTGATCGCGTCTTGCGTTGGTCGGGTGCCTAAGACACTGCGTCGGCCCGTAGGTAACTGTTGAGTTGTGTCAACAAGGGGGCACGTTTGTCGAGCCGGGACGGAAGCGTGACCCCGAGTGTCAGAGGGTCTTTTCGTTTGGATGGAGCCCTCCGACGATGAAAGGAGACGTGGTTGACTATAATGACAGGTTAATGACAATTATAATGGCATGATGAAAGAGCCCTTGTCAGTCGGGATCACAAGTAGGCAAGGCGAGGTCCCTGTACCATGTATTGGACCCTCTACGCCGGTAAGCGACCCTCTTACCTCAATGGGGCCACGCGTCGATCCAGGGCCAACTGCCACGGTAAAAGGGCCTTGCTCGTCAGGGAGGCAACCGACGCATGATGTACCAGTCTGAGTGCCTCTGGATCGACAAAAGGCCATGGTCCACTGTCGTTAAAATGACAGCCGGCAGACGGCAAATGCCCCACACTGGGAACGAAAGGCTCTTCAGCCCCTGACCGAAACGTAATGTGCTCCTTAGCGTTCTACCATCAGGCTCCTTGGCCGGAAAATGTAAGGGGTCTCCTTAGTCTTCGATGAAGTGAGTTGAAGGGGGGTAAAAACTATAGACTAAGCTGACAAAAGCTTGCCTCACAGTGACTCTCTATCACTAGGCTAAATTGCTCAAAACGTCGGGAGCAGTCGCTCTCGCATTCTGCCCATAAGCTGGACTTGAGGTACTCATGACCATAAGCACGACTTCAGGCACTCATGGTCATAAGCAGGGTTTCAGGCACTCATGACCATAAGCACGACTTGAGGCACTCGTGATCATAAGCAGGGCTTGAAACTCTCGTGATCATAAACAGACCTTGAAATGTCAGAATTGTCAATACAGCTAATGACTGATCTATCAAGCCTTTTAACTAGTGTCCCTGGTATGCAGAAGGTCGTAGCTGGCATGCGTCGAGCTCATAAACTAAAAAAGCATTAAAAAAGGCGTGGGTGTGACCTGCATCGCATAGCTTTGACAATGAGTATCTCCGCACGAAACACCATACTCAGATGTGGAGCAGTCCCTCCAAATACTCCGTGGGTGGGATCCACCGACAGCAAAGAAGACCGATGGGTTTGAGAGAGACTCTTAAAATGGTGCCTCCCCCCTCCTCCCTCCCCCCCCCCCTCCTCCCTCCCCCCCCCCCCCCCGTTAAGGTTCGATCCGCCGCCACTGGTTACAGGGAGCCCTGCGATGAGATGTTTTAGTTGTAGTTCGTTATGAAATACTGAGCTTAAAAGACATATTGAGTCTGTATTTGCATGCCTGGTGAGAACGTCATTCAAATGGTTTCACATGAGATGCTTCGCATTATTCGTCCATGTCCCACATCCTTAGCCTTTGGCACTCTTTGGCTGCACGCGATATTTACAAGCATGTGGCTCAAAATATTACCCTAGTGTCGTAACTGACTGGACTTCATAACGCACTGAACACGCAAAAGGTTGCCCGCGACATAAAGAGGCAAGTCCATGTCTTTGTGTTAATGCCGCCATAGAATTTGGTGCAAATGGATGCACAGCTTATAATGCAACCCCTGAAAAGTTGTTTGTGCCCCCCCCCCCCTCCGAAAATTCGATTCACCGTCACTGGTTAGACAAAGCTCTGTCGTGAGACGTCTTATTTGTTTTATTTGGGACTATGAGATGCTTAGCTGACCACAAGAATGTATGTGTATGTGTATGTACCATGTGTTTCTCATGTAAATCCTATATCCATCTCCTATATGCACTTTTGGTGTATATAAATGCACACCTTATGGTGCAACTAGCATCTGTCCATACCTCAACGCCTGGTGAGAAGAAAACTGCGAGCGCACTTTGCAATGTATTCAACCATTGTACAACCCCGTACTAAGTACAGGTCATCTCATATTCAAACAATGATTATTCGATGTATGTACGCACTCACATTGCAGCACATTCCAATATATCCTGCAAGCTATAAACAGATAAAATACACGCTTAGCTATTACTGTTCTATGTCATGTGTTCAAACGCTCCCGAGTATAGAAACACTCACTCAACAAAAGGGCGTACAGATCTCGCATTCACTGAAAACACGTGTTTACGTTCCGAGAGTATAGAGAAACTCTCGCTTACTGTGGCAGCAGGGCATGAGTGACTAAGAGCCCTCAAGTAATTTGGCAGAAGGTTGTAGTCGACTGGATCCCGATAATGAGCTGCCGTTTGCAACTGTTTTGATGCACCGCAGACCACCTGATGTTCTGTGACTGGCGGGTTCGTCTTTCTGGCGTGTTAATGTTTGTGCTGAGTATATTTTTCAATGCTGTTGGTTTTCCCGTCGTGATGATCTTATGAAGAAAGGTTACGTTGTGGCAGTATGCAAGCCGTCTCACGTTCAGGGCTGAGTTTTAATGTATCCGGTTTTAAATATGGCCGAACCTCCGTCGGTCTGGCATTACTCACGAAAAAAATTTAGAATTGACTAAACATGCTTCAAGTGTGACTGGTTTGCGCTGCCGTACACATACATGCAGTAGCGAACCACAGAGATAGCCAAATTTTGTATCATTGCGCCTTTATGTTCAGTGGGGAAACTATGTCTTATGTGAGACAGGGCCACAAGCAGCCCATTGCAGTGTACTTTCATCCTGGCAATATGCATCGAGAAGGTGAGTGACCGGACCGTACTGTTCGTTCCATTTCTGTTGTCAGTCCAGTTAATTCGTGCTTCATTTCGTGAAATGTGAACATCACGGCACATTTACAACAGTACACACTTTAGTAACGGGAACAATAAACGAGGGTTGGTAACATCAACCGATTGTAAAATACCAATCAAAGGCCAACAATCAGCGAAAACTACCACTAACCAAACAAAGAATTATAACACAATCCGTCTCCCGTGCACGCCCGTCTGTGTTCCCATCAGCCGCCACCGGCCAGGTTGCCGACCAATCAGCGGCCACGGAATGTAATATTGCCGTACATGGCAAGTAAGCCCTCTTTCATCGTTGACCAACAGACGTCGCCCATGGTCATGGGCAGCGGTCGATTGCGGCCGATAGACACATCCAGCATATACGAACACAGGAGGGACCAGGTTTAAATGTTGCGCTTCCTGTTTAAGTGGGCCGATGTTCAGGATAACGTATTGCTACGTAGGCACAACGGAACGAGATTCAGCAAACAGAGGAGTCAATAACCACCTCACGTGCTCTGCTCCGCCACGTGCTACAATACACTGGGCATGCTCGACGCAAAACTGAAAGACTATGCCAACCGATATTAGTAAAATAAACATTGGGTTATTTTCCGCAGTTCTGTGCATGAGCGCTGCACTGGTATGTGCCAACATACCACTTGAACCTAAAACAATCCATTAGGTCTAGACTGGGAATACCGACCATCATTTGTGAAGATGAGACACGGCGGTCACCTGGAAGCTAAACAGGGGCACTGTATGTCCGTATGGAGACATCTTCTGGACATGATAAGACACTGGGTTAAGGGTTTGGGATCTACCAGTATTTAGTGCTTGGGACGGGGCACTGTATCCACCAGAAGACGGCTGGGACGGGGCACTGTATCCACCAGAAGACGGTTGGGACGGAGCACTGTATCCACCAGAAGACGGCTGGGACGGGGCACTGTATCTACCAGAGGGTCCCTGTGACTGACCGCTGCTGTATCCACCGGAGGATTCCTGTGACTGGCCGCTGCTGTATCCACCGGAAGATCCCTGTGACTGACCGCTGCTGTATCCACCGGAGGATCCCTGTGACTGGCCGCTGCTGTATCCACCGGAGGATCCCTGTGACTGACCGCTGCTGTATCCACCGGAGGACCCCTGTGACTGACCGCTGCTGTATCCACCGGAGGATTCCGATGACGATTCGCCGCTCCCGCCAGAGGGCCCAATCCCATAGCCTCCTCGGCCGGATCCTCCTGTCGCTGATGCCTGGGACCCCCTGGCTGCTCCAGAGCCTCTGTAGGGTCCGACAGATGCTGAGCTGGGAGATGCGTAGGCGTCAATGAACCCGGCAGAGATTGACTGAGACCCGCCTCCACCCGACGGGCCGACGGCAGATCCGTATCCAGCAGACGATCCAACTCCGCTAGAGGAAGGTCCGTACCTGCTGGAACCGTCACCTACGCCTTTAGGCGAAGCTCCATACGTGCTAAATCCTCCACCTCCGCTGCTGGGATGAGCTGCGTACGCGGTGGAGCTGCTTCCTTCTCCGCCGGACAGAGAAGGGCATGATGTTGCTCCGCTTCTGCTGAGGCTGCCACCAGTGAAGCTGGGTGCCACCACCGCCAGTGCAATATAGACCTGAAAGGTGGCTTTGTCAAATACGACTTATAGTCGCATACTGGTCAACGAATGCCACGATGCGGAAGGCCGCTTTAGAAATTGAAAAAGAAATAATACATCTGCTTATTTAAGTCAAGTCTAGATTTATCATATGATGCTGATGACCAACTGCAAGCGCAGCACTGGAATGTTCTACTCGATAAATTCCATGAAAACATACTATCACCTATCCTGAACGCATAGCCAAACACAGCTTTAACATCGCATTTGTCGGCTTGCTCTGCTGAAGTCGCTGAGTGTCTCCATTGGCTTGCCGCCTGCTTACCGCGATCCGCCTCATGTTGCCGGCTGTAGCTCCGGAGCTGTGTGTGCCGTGTGCCGCCGGCCGGCCGGCTATATACCTCCGTCGCAGACCGCATGATAGTGCTGGGTGAGGGGAGGGCGGCGCCCACCCCGGCCCGGTCAGTGTGAAGCCGTGGGTGAGCCGCGCGGCAACATCGAGTGACAAGCGGTTCCACGACATTATTGCTACAGCAAACACTTCTACTGGCAAGAGTGCTACATTCTTTCCACTGTCAATCCTTATGCATGACAGAAGCGCTACAGCAAAAACTTCTACCAGCAAGAGAGCTAAGACAGCATTTCTACCCGCACTGACAGGCGACGTTAGTGATGCACGACAAAATTGATGCCGCAAATACTGATACCCGTCTTTACTTTTTCTGGCAACACTTTAACAGTTACAAGTTATGCACATTCCTGGTGTTGCCTAGATGGGTGCACGACATGAGTGCTACACGACAAACTCGATGCTTCAAAAATGGATACCTACTGCTTGTTTTGAAAGAACGTACACAGCTGATATGTATACACCACATTACCGCCTTCTTTAATACTTAGTCGTGGAGTGTAAAAAGCATGGACGCTTTGCAATGGATTAGGAACAATTAGCAGGTTAGGGGGAGCCTAACTAAGTACTATTGCACCTAAAATTTCGTGATACCGATAAGGAAACTTCTTTATTCATTCTGGTCCGCCAGTTGGCGATTCGTCGTGCTTGACGTATAAGTAACGGCTGTAATTTTGGTAGCAGCATATCAATGACGGGATAACTACGAAAAATCAGTATTGTCGTTTAGCGCCAGTGTCTTGTATGAACGATAACGGTAGAAGTAGCATGGCGTATAAGTAGTGTCGCTGTTCAGTAAATACTACATCGCTTTTTGCACTAGGTGTAATGATGGGTGAGAGATACTTAAACATAAGTTTTCAGTACTTTTTAAGTGTTGTTATTAGCACTAGTATCACATGTTACTCATTACGGTATAAGTAATGCCAAGCATAAGTCAAGGCCGCATACCATTGCTGTAGAAGTACTTGGGAATTTTTGTGTTTGCAACATGTATTTTGGTCGGGTAGAACTCGTGTCTTACGACTTTTGCAGTGGAAGCGATGTTGCGTTAAGTATAGACTGCGCAAGTCTTTTGCTGTATAATTTTTGACGGGTAGATGTTTTTGCAATATTGGACTTGTCGTGTACCACTCATGTGATTATGAGTTCTTCACAGCAGAAGAAATGTCGCGTGCAAGTGGAAGCGGCACAAGCTTTTCCAGGAGATGTAATGACAGGTAAATGCTTTAAGTACAAATTTTATATTATAGCACTCATGTCGTGGGCAAGTCCATACAGCTGAAGTAATGTCGCGTATAAGTGAAGTATGCAGAATTATTTTTTAGTTGAACCTTGTCATGCAGCACTGATGTCGTCGCACTCCCGCCGGCAAGAGTACCCACCGCTAATGTCGGTGACATCGTGACAAGCGCAAAAAATGCTTGCTGCAGAGAGAGGCACCACCACACAGCTGCTTGCGCGGCAGCCATCGCTGTGGGATAACCAGCTTTAGGCGCCCATGAGCCACAGGAATGGGCATGGTTGGCTTATTGGTGTGCGAACCATTCCAGCATGTGGGGAATTTCCTGGCGCGTATCTCAACCGTTTCGTTTCGTGAACTGCGGTAGCCTTGGGGGAACATTACTCTGAGAGTCGATGACATTAGCCCCTCAACGGTATCCCCTCCCCTTTCCAATATCTGCAGCTGTGTAATTTTGGCAGAGAGAGTCGTCCATAATTACGTTACGCACTTTGGGTAATGTTTTAACCCTTCCTCCCGTTGGTTACGCAATGGTCACGCTGGGCGAACCTTCTTCCCCTTGGCTGCATTCCACTAAGCGTATTGTGGAGGAAAGTCAATGTTCCCCCAAAGAAACCCTCTAACACGTGCTCGGGAGGGGGTCAATTTGGCCCTCCTACTTCAAAGGTTTTTCCACAATGGTCTCCAAACGCTGCAGCGTAGTCGTGCCAAATTTGGCGTAGCTGTACACAATTGAATAGCGGATCGTTTGACATCAGAATTTAGATATACCTTGTAAGGTCGCTGATCTACGGCAAGTCAAAGTCGGACCATGGATTCAGCGAGGCCAGTTTCTAAGGAATCGTTCAATCTGATGCAACAATGGAGTGTTAGACGAGTCCATACATCTCTGGGTACTTTCTTAGGGAACAAGACAGTTGAATAAACGAATTTCACTGACCTAGGATTAGATATGAGAGTGAGACCAAGGCCAAATTAACCCGTTTTATTACTCTAAGGCCTGCTGTATAGGGTAGATTCTGGTGCTCATTTGAAATTTACTGATGGCGGGAACTGCATCTTAAATTTTCCATGGACTTCTTAAAGGTAAGTGTAAGTCACTGTGTCAAAAGGCCAAAATTTTATTATGACGAATATACTGTCTATGGTAATATTTGTCGCTTATTCAAATGCAAAACTCAAAGCAGTCTTGCGTGATTTTGGCCACCATGACTTTCGAAAGCTCAAACAAGGTCACTGACCTTAATGACTATGTGATATTTTGCTTAAAACAAGTGTCTAGGATCCGGGGACACTTTGGGAGCCAGCTTGGAGTTTGACTTTGTTTGACCTTATTCAAACCGACGGTCAAAACCTAGTAATGCCTAACATCGGCCTGAGTGAGTTCACGGACCGGTCAATACATCCTGCAAATTTGGTATCTGCAGCTTTCCTAGTTCCTGAGATCTCAAGGGGATTAAATTGACCCCCAACCATAGTTTTTTTTTTGGCGTAGGGTATCCAATCAGCCAACCGGGTGCGTGCTGATTTTAGATTGTGATTGGGCAAATAACGGAAATGCTTTAAGCCGAGCGTGTTTTCGATGGATGCGTCTAACTGAATGCTACCTAAATGCGTGTCTTGACGACGTGTCTTGACAACGCGTTTCGGTGATACGTCATCAAACCTAAAGCGTAGGCCTGCACTTACACTAGACCAATTTAGTGCACTCGAAATGCAGCCGTATTTTTTAGCATAAGCCCAAGCGAATGAATCCACCAATGCACAATATCCATCAAGTTATAAGGAGCTCATTGGAAATGAAATGCACCAATGAATGCACGAATGAATGCACCGGTGCGCAATATCCATCAAGTTATAAGTAGCTCAGTGGGAATTTAAGCTGGTTCAATTCATCTGATCATGCATGCAACACCTCAATCCGCAGCGTTGCAACCGGTCGGTGAAGTCCAGTTCCCCCAGGCGCGCCGTTATGCTGGCTGACTGCGGTTTAACGTACAGGGGGAGTCGGCGCGCCAAGCGGCGGGGCCTGGTCGTCACCTGTGGCACGCTTCCGTTGTCTCCGTTTCCAGAGCGTGCGCCGTTATTTGTATTGACAGAACGGGGGGGGGGGGGGGGCGAGGTGGTCATGCCGTGCGGTTGGACGGAACTTGGGAATGCTTGCTGCAGCATGACGGAATGCTTGCTGCATCATGTCTGAAAACTAGCAGCTGGTCCTGCAGCCTACGGCGTACAGCGACGCCTACCGGCGGCTGGTATGCAGTGGTGCCAACGGAATGAAGGGGTGCAGCGTCTCGGACGTTAGTAAAACATTTATTGATGATAAGAGACCAGCGACAATCACACGGATTGCAGAAGTAGCCTAAACGCTTTTTGTTGGTAGCAAGCAGTTCCAAGCAGCGACGGCGGAACATCGGAAGGCGAGCGATGGTGTGACGTGTTTTTTAACTTTTTTCACGCAACGCTTTAACTTAAACGTGAAATTTTCCAGTGATGTGGGGGGCAATGCCCACTCCGGCGCTACCATCTCCAAATCTTACATGGTACATGGTACGCACATCGTCCTTGGTAATCGTAACATGGTAGCCAAATCGGGCCACGGGAGGCTTCTTCATTCGAGTACCCCCTCCCCCCGTCTTCGTCGCTGTAGGGCTCGCTTTTATTCGGGGACCTGTTTAGCCTGATGATCCTATTGCAATGCCCCTGGGGTTCCTCTTATGTTTTAGAAGCGCCTCCTTCGGACATTTTAAACTGGCTGCGTGCGGCCGCTCGTCCTCCGGACATTTTAAACTCTGAAGTGCTGCAGCCTTCAGTTTCAGCAGGCCTCCGCCACCCTCACGGGGTAGGGGCATAGCCTCGAAAGCTCCCCTTGGATACCCCGCTAACAACACCGCTCGCGACACTCAAACCGCGTGCACGACGCCGCGATCCTCAAACGCGGTCACCGCTGCCCGAATAACGCGGAACGTTCCCCGCGACCGTGCCGCATTACCGAATGACGGCGGTGCGCCTCCGGCGCGGATTCACCTGGCGTTAACGGTGGCGGCGGCGGCCGGGCGGCCGGCCCGCCGCGTCCCACCCAGCGCCGCGCGCCTGTTTGTGCGGACGTCAGCGGCGGTCCGGCGCGTCCCAGTCCAGTGCCGTCCGCGCGCGCGCCAGGCGCGACCGTGCGTCGTGTGGTGAAGATCGCCGCGCGCGTGTCACCGGCGCCATCCGTCGCAGCACTCGGCAGCCGCGCCGGCAGCCATGGGCGGCTCGAAGCTGGAGTACGCCGAGCCGGACAAGTACTCGGCGCGGTACCTGCGCAACAGCCGCGCCATCGGCGTGCTCTGGGGCGTGTTCACCATCTGCTACGCCATCCTCAGCGTGGTGGTGTTCGTGCAGCCGCAGTGGATCGGCGACACGGCCGCCTCGCCCGGTTCGGGCTACTTCGGCCTCTGGCGACACTGCGTCCACTCGAGCGCCGCCCAGGTACGCCAGGTCACGAGAGGTCACGAGAGGTCAGCCGCCTCGCCGTCCGGCCGGCGCGGCCCGGCGTGGCGACTGTCGTGCAGGAGGGGGTCTGCATGTCGCAGTGCTTGTCCCGGTGGCAGCGTGAATGTACCTTCGGGAGTGCTCACAGAATTGCAGTCGCGCTCCGTGCCAAGCATATGCGCTTTGGCGTGAAGGCGGTGTTGGCCCATTTGAGAAGCAAAGGCTGCTCATTCTTGTCTGTCCCGTTGTACGAACGCTCTGCTTTTATTCATCTTTTTTTTGTGTGGTAGCAGCGGGAGGAACGGAGCGACCAGAGACCATGGTCCTCCCTCTTATTGCGAAAAGTTGCCGTGAACACCAAGCCCATGTGTGAAAAGAAGGAACTTGAAAAAGCGGTCTGCCGAGCGTCGTTTTCTCCCGCTGGACATTATACCCTGGGACGTGGGGTCATGATGTGCGAGCATGTAGTCTGCTTTCAGCATCGCGCGGCACACGTTGCTATGTAACTATTTGCGATGCGCTGGAGGCTGCTGCTCCACATCAGCGTCCAAAAGTCATGGTGCCAGCCGGGACACGAACCCAAGCCTCCCGCATGGAAGCCGAACACGCCTCCGACCCAGCTGCCGTCTCGAGGATGTGGAATCAAGCCGTCGTAAAAACGGGGTCGCCCGACCGGCGGAGCGCCTGCGCCGCGGGTCTCTCCCTCCCTCTCCCTCTCTCTCTCTCCGGCGTCTGACCCGCCGTCACGGGTCAGGCCCGGCGTGTGCCGGATCAGACAGGCCGGGAGACCGGTCAGAAGGCCGGTCTGAGTGTGCGGCAGAACTTTTGTGAGAAAGAGAGCCTTGGTGGTTTTCGCACATGCACGAGCACGCTCACGGGTCTTAGCTGAAGAACAGGTAGATCTCGATCAGCACCTAATGGGCGACGCGGAGGCTCGAAGCTGTGAAAGCCAGGAGCTTTGTGAAAATATCCGTAGGAGTCAGTTTGATCGGTGGAATGAGGTCGAATGATGGTTGGCTCAGGGATGCAGTTTCGTAAAATAGTTTGGCTGTGACATTGATAACCAGCGTTCCACCTAAATTCGCCTTCTCTTGAACGGTGTATCATAATTTTGCTCCAGGAAACATGATTCGATAAGCGAACTCGGCATTGTCAAGGACTTTCATTTGCCGCTTGGTCACGCTCGCATTATGTTTTTGAAGTCACTGCGACATTTAACGAACCTGTAGGAGCTGTTGCTCTGGAAGAAAATGGTTTGTTTACTGAAAGACATGGATGTCAACTTCGTGATATGAACGGGTGGTTAATGTTAGGCATGTGTGCAGCTCTAGCGCTGTGCATTTGTGCACGACCGATGTAAATCAAAGCCGAGCGCGCACCGGACCGACCTTTGAGGTCAGGTGAGTGCCTTGGGACGCTCGGTGACCCCGTTTCGTTGCGCGCCGGCAGCCAGCTGCGGTGCCAGAGCAATGAACCGGTTCGGCCGTCTCAGTCCTTCCTGAATCGCGGGTTTCGTCTCCACCACGTAAGCCGCTCTTGCCATTGGGCGAAGCGCGCCGGCTTCACGCGAGAGTGGCTGTACATGCCACCGATTAAACCGGGTCGGCAGATCCGGTACGCGAAGTATGGTTTCCGCGTGCGGCATAACTCACGGTGCGATCCGTCCCGCCGTGGCTAAGCCCAGGATATGGCCAGGAATAGCCCGGCCTGTCGTCACCTAGAGGTCACCCGCCCAGAGGTCAGCTCATCACCCGGGGTCAGCGCCCGTCAGCGTTGACCCCTGGCGAGCTGAGCCGGGAGCGTCACCAGCTAAACTCCGCCGTGATCACAACAGGTGTCATGTGACAGCCCGAAACCACACACCAGGATCGTGAAAGTGAGCCCATGTGACCTTGATGTCGTCTCGTCGTCCATGACTGTTTTACTCGTTACCGGTTTTTGTTTGTCTGTCTTTGAAGCCATGCGACAGCTTTATAATAGTGGCGATCTCTCGCGACGATCGGCCGAGCGAGCCGGAACGTCGCCAGCAGCCGGCCTCAAGGCCACTGCGGCACGGCTCCATCATCCCTAGCTCATGTGACAGGGATGTCATGCTTTAATTAAAAGACACCTGGCTCTGGTTTACTTTTTACACCCAGTGATCCGGGTTGAGGGCGTGATGTATGAGCGTCCGTCCTGCTCTGCCGAAGAACTGCCTGTGC